ACGAGCAAGAAAAAGACGCATATATAAGAAAATCACAATGCTATATCTACAAATTATCAAGTCTTGAGCATTAAAGGGGTCATCGCATTGGCCCCTCATCACCAACCCACTAATTGCTGTTTCGATCTCAGCCATGAATGTATGTACACTGCTGTTGTACGTGTGCGTTATGGGTGTGATCGCATAGAGATTCCCCATCCTTCTCCTGCCTGTTGCATTTTTAGCTTTTGTCTTTTTACCCCATTGTACACCCCTCACAATCTATCATGAAATGGAAAATCCAATTTACCTCATGCAAACTATGAGTCGTGAAAGATGGCTTCTTGAATTGAGATATGATACAAAAGATGCAAAGACATGCGATAACATACAGTGAAAGAGGATAACTATTCCTCCTCATCGACTCTTCTTTGTCGCAATGCTAATGTCCCTTTACGAGAAAGTAACCCAAGAAATAAAAAGAGAGACTGTAATAAATTATCGTGGAACCTCGAGAATGTCGTGCTTCTTGTCGATCGAAGACTTTTCCGAGCTCGAGCTCTGTTTCGATTCACTACTGCGGTTCTTGTCGGTGTGATTGTCAGGTGTTAGCGTTCGAGCATTGCTCATCGTTAATACGCTCGCTCTCGTCGAGTGGTCCCCTCGTACGGTCGTCACCGTGTCAAAGTAATAGTCCGAGCCAGAAGGTGTAGCAAGGTAACGCTCACCGGCCTCAGCTAGCCTTTCCAACGTGTCGTCACTTTCACCATTATCTGCACTAATTCTTGCCTTGGTGTCTGTGGGTTGCTGGCCAGGAGTGATAGATTGACCATCGGCTGTCTTGGAAGAGGAAATGACGGGAAAGATGTCGGTCGACCTAGTGATGGAGGTGTTGCTGGGGAGAACAGGGGTTCTATGGATCCAGGCTAGGAATTGGGTGCTTAATGGTATTTCTCCCGCTCCAAAGATAGCTGCAATGGACGCGACGGCCGTTAGAGCAGCACTGAAACAGACCATCACTGTCCATCCGTTCTTGACTTCGGAGTAAATGTAACCCCCGATAAGTGGACCGACTAGAGGTAAACCATAAGTGAACGGTTAATGGGGAGGGGGATGTAAGACATACGAGCACTAGCGCAGCTGTAGGCAAAGTTGAATGCGCCAAACACATGTGCATCTAGTAGTACCTCGTTAGCTATACATTCATTCAAGGAATCCATGACCTACATCCGATACCATCCAGCTCCTTGGCACTAGCGGCCAAATCAGCAATCAAAGGCGTGACCACAGCCGCCAAAAAGAACTCTATGATATCATATCAGTATATTTAGGTGATCATCTCACAAGCCATGACTCACCAGCAAGGGCTAAAGAGGCCAAGAGCATAGCAAGGTTGCCCGGCAAGGCCATCAGGATCCACCAAGGAATAGAGAGCACCAGACTCCCAACGGTGACCCAGTTTAATCCAACTTTATCAGAGATCCAACCAGCAAGAGGAGTCGCTGGAAAGGTGTCTAGCGTATCTCAAGACAAAAAAGCAGACCACTCACAAATCAAAGATGGGATGACCACGGCAAAGTAAATAATTCCAACTTTGAGAGAAGAGAACCCGTAAACCTCCTGTAATCGTAAGGGTAGTGTTGGCTCCATCAAGGTGAACACAATGCTAAAATTCGTCAGGCGGCCGTGGATCTCAAATCACATAAGACATACCCATAGAGAAAAGTGTTGAAAAAGGCTATGAACGCGCGCTTTGAACGTCCAAGAGTAATGATAACCTTGATGACGGGCAGATGAGAACGTGAGCGGTGTCGAGAAGAGCGCACTGTTGACAATTTAATAAGAAGACAAAGCCGGTATAGACTACTCACAAGTGACAGAACTCCCGTTCTTCTTCAGATTTTTCTCAATATCGGTCTTTGGTGTTTGCTGTTCGTCGGTAGAAATGCTTGGCTGGGAGTGGGTCCATTTCTCCGCCGTTTCCCTTTCTATGACCAACACCCGCCCAATCAAGTCGAGAACACAGAGGGCTATGCAGAAAATGTAGGGTGCACGGTATCCCAATTTGGCGTGAAGGACACCACCCAGTGGCGGCCCTATGAGAAATCCCAAGACGGATCCCGTCATGACGATACCAAGATATTCTGTTAACCGAGTAAGCTGTTTGTTGTCTGATTTAATTGAGATAGAACTCACGTCCGATGCGCTTCTCCGGGACGGTATCACATCTACCGGGTACTATAAGCATGAGAAGCCAGGGACAGGAGCCTACTTACAGTAACGCAAATGACACGACCCACACGGCAGCAGAGCTAATTAGAAGGGCAACCGATTCAGATACTGCTTCCAGGTAAAATCTAATAGACACCGACCTGATACCCTGTAGGACACGCGAAAGCACCATAAACCAATACGTCCTTGCTTCCATGAACATTGCTTGAGAGCCGATGAGGAGTACAATGGCCACTAGGAGAGGGGTCCTTCTGGACCAGTATCTTTCTGCTAGGAATGCGATGGGGGGTGTCACTGCACGAGAAGAGTCTGTGAGGAGGACACTTGAATGATGGGCACTGAGAGTTACCTATAACGAGACCTAGAGACTGGTAATGTCATTAGCTTTACGAAGGGATATACGATACAAGTTCACGCACATATGCGACGAGTAGCCATCCTGTCAGTGCCGATGGTGCATTGTACCCTAGCTCCTCCAATCGAAACGGGATAACTAGAGGGGTTATAAGAACATTGTAAGTATATGTGGTTCTTTCCAAACCCAGAATGGTGCGTCCCAGCAGAGGACGAGATACTCGGGGTGAAAGGGACAGGCACCTGGAATGATGATCGAATATACCAAGAGGTCCACAAAAATAGATAGGAAAACGATAAATGTGCAGAAAGGAACGGAAGATCGAAATTTAAGCCCGAAGGGTCTTGAAGGTGCTGAAATTGACCCCTCTGTGTCGCGTTTCCCCTGCTCGAGAGGGGACTTCATGGGTGGTGCAATCCAAGGCTGAGGGATGGGATCTCAGATGAGATTCGGCCAACCCTTTTGTAAGTAAAAAGAATGTAACTAAAAGAGTAAAGAGAGTGTGAGATTATTTGGTGAGAAGACGTTCTTCTGCGATGCTTGACGGGTGATGGGGGATGTTCCGAAACTCGCCCTTCCTCAACCTCCCCTCTGCCTTTTTCAACGATTCTTGCCGAGATTTCTCTCTAACGCAAAGTTTCTCTGAATTCTGGCCTACATTGATCTGTCATGAGCCGGCAACTGCAAGCCGTCTGACCCATTTCCAACTCTGATTGAAGCGTGCCTCGGGTGTCGCAGGTGCAGGATCGACACCCAGGGGCAGACAAGGGGCTGTATATACTCGGTTACCAGCAGTCCATTTTACTGTAATCAGGTGGCGAGCAGGAATTTCATAAGCCAAGTTTTTTTTGTACGATGTTGTATTGGACGGAGCGAGGTCGAATGTTTGAGCCGCGGCGCGGGCCTGAACTCGAACCACATTGAACCATTCCCTAGAGCGACAAGAATGAGTGTGAACCCACAACATTAAAAAATCGCCATGGCAAAGTTAACAGTATCGATCAGAGCCCATACATGCGTATAGCCGCAATATCCCAATATGCATCCGAGAATGCGGAAGGATTGCTGTTCACAAAGTCTATATGGCCCACGGGTATAATATCGGAGGCAAAGCTTATCAGTACTTCGCATACCTGGCATAAATCTCCTACGCACCTACGCAAGAGCCGGGGCACCCGCTATCAGGGTATACCGCGCCCGCCCAGTCCCCGCCTAGAATATCAAATATGCGTCAGCGAGACGTGCAAATCAAACCCATTGAAAATCAGACGGACAGAAAGTCAGGTTGATGATCACATTGTTCACATCAAATTTGGACTCGATATCGCAGCTCGTATTGGGAAACAAGGCCACTGGTTCCCCCATGACAGTTTGTTCAGGGTGGTAATATCGCACGGAATATTCTCTTCTGCTCGGGACCAGAACCATGCTCGGATAAACTGTGGTGTTCGCTCAA